CCCGCCCTGCCCCGCGTCGGCCCCGAGCCCTCTCCTCTCGTCCCCCCACTGCTGCCGGGTCAGCCCAGGCCCACTGCTGCCCCCCGCCGCCATGGCGGTCCGGCTTCTTCCCACCCTTGGGCCCAGTCCGCATCAGGCCCAGGCCCACTCCTCCCCTTCCCCACTGCTGCAGCAGGGAGGGGGGGATCGAGCCCGGGCCCCAAGTAGCAGGAGGGAAGGGGGGAGCAGGCCCAGGCCATGGGGCTCCACCCCCGCCCGCTGCCCCCCTATCATTCCTGGCAGGCAACTGGCTAGTATTAGGTAATTCCCTCAGTAAATTCTGGTACCAAGGAAAATTAAGTACCGAGGAGAATTAAGTATATATGGATATTTGGCGAAAGTACAGAATATGCAGATGCTGCTGAGGGTTAAACATTCATTATTCAGGACAGGGGTTGTCAACTGGGGGTATGCGTACCCCTGGGGGTACTTGAGAAAGCCCTAGGGGGTGCACGCGGGCAGGTGGGGACAGAGCACTGCCACGTACCATCCCTCACAGACGCCACCCGCCCAGCCAGACAGCAGGTGGGGGAAGCTTGCACACGACAGCCACCACTGTTCCACATTCAACCGCGTGCCGCTCCTCACCCCCTTTGCTCCGCGTTCGGGTATGCTGCCCTGCGTCCAGCTGCCGGGGGTACACCGGTCCAAAAAGGTTGGAAACCCCTGACTTGGGGAGCTATTTCTGTTAAGGGGACGCTATGAATGTAATCATCATACTTCCATCTAAATTTTTGCTCAGTAGAGTTACAAGTTTACTCTAATTGAAAGAAATTAGAAGACCAAAAAGAGATTTTGACACCACTTTGTGCACAGTCGGTTTCATCACTGGATAGTCAGTTTTTTTCCTTTGTGTTGTACAGTTTTCTGCGTGAAAAATAATAGTTGGTTTCCATACTGGATAAATTGTAAGGCTGCAAATAGACTGATTCTAGTGTAATGCTTTGTATTATCCCTGATTGACCATGACACTGTTGGAATGTTACTTCCTCCCTCCATTGGGAATGACAGAAGTTTGGTACATTTACCGTGCACAGTAACAATGCAGAAATTAATAGTGAAATTCATTATTTGTTGAAGTTCTGTCATTTGTAAGAATGTGTTATTGAGTAGCATAAAAAAATACAGCCCTCAGTTAATGAAGGCCCCAGTCCTTCAAACACTTATGGACGTGCTTAATTTTCCATACGTTGTATAGTCATGTTGACCTTAGGCATAAAGTGTCTGCATAAATGTTTGCAGGATGGAGTCATTTTAGCTTCCCCTGAACTGCTGGAAAAGTATTAATGACTGGAATTGCAGCCATAAATGTTGCACATACAATTCAGATGATCCGCTTCTATGATATTTTTAAAAACTCATTAATTTCTGGAGACTATGTCAAGTACATGATTCTAAAATTCTTTATTAGTTTATTAGTAATATAAATATATCTTATTGATTATTTAAGACTTATTTCATTCCAGATGGAGCTAAAATTTACCCTGTTACTAATTAAGGAGAAAAGAGCAAAAGGAGAAGAAAACAGATTGGGGGATGAAAGACAATTGCACAGTATTTCGTGTTTGATTAAATGATCCTATCAGAGCCTTATTCAATAGGATCTAAGGATGTTTTCCATATGTCTGAATTTATCTGCTTTTCATACTAAATGCTCGTCCTTCATATAAGGGCTCTGTCAGTGTCACCGTCTGCTGTTTGACAGTGGGTGGTATCTCTTGTAAGCAACTGGAGGAATTCTGCATGTGGAGGGGAAGGAAAGTTGGTTGTAACAGGCATATTGTGAGATTGTTGGCCAAATTCTTTCCTCCGAGTTGTGCATGCAGCTCTAATTGCGTTCAGCAGAACTTTCACACGTGTCTAAGGGTGGAATTAGCCCGTTGTTTTCTCCTTCAACAACTCTCAGTCTCTGAGATGTTGCTCAACACACTTAGAGGTGTCCTAATTGGCATTTCAAGTTATATTATGATTCTGTTTTCCTTCAAATTTTCTCCCAGACCCTATGTAAATCTGAGCATGTAGGAAATGTTTACTACAGCAGGATTAGAACACTTGCCAGTTACTTTTCCTATCCAAGCTGGGAGCTGGCTGAGGCAAAATCCCACCTATTTCTACTAATTGTCTGTTCCAGCCTGGTGCTCACTTACCCCTTCACCCTAGTACTTTTGCACGATTCTGATGATGTGCTGAGATTTATTTCTCTTTCTTTCTATTCTCTGAGGTCCCGGATACATATTTTTCTATTTTACTGGAATACTTGGAAGGGCTCAAGGGCAGTGCACGCGAAGTAACTGTGCAGAAAGCTGAGGCTCTCATGAAAGAGTACGACAGCGCTGACCTAGACGATCCCAACCTGTTGAACAAGTGTGAGCGCATACGACAAGTTCTACAGCTATTATCCTGAAGTGGTGTGAACACTGTTGCTATTTCTGTACTTTTTGCTGTATGGAGAGAAGGGTAAAATGTAAAAACCCAGCTTTTTATGATCAATGTAAATATCTTTATGAAGAGTCTTGATGCTAAGATTTCATATTTCCAGTTCTTGTTGTAAAATATTTTTTCCAATTACACATTAAACAGATTGTAAGGAAATTAAAATTGAAGTGAAATGTAGCATCTGTCCAGCTTCTACCATGTGATTTTGATTCCTTCAGGTAACTTTGGTGCATGTCTTCTGGAAGAGGCTAGACACATCCTTGTCTCTTTAGTTTTCCTCATATTTGCCTGTATTTTCTATTAAATGGTAAGGTGCTTTATAGTTCTTGATAAGAAGAGCAGAACAACCAAGAAAAAAGCTTGGAGATTCTTCCACAGAAGGTAGGTTTAAAAGTGAACAAAAAGTGTGGTGCTTGTTCAACCAGCTGCTATCTATCACTTTCGGCTTTAGAAATATGTCATCTGAATTTGGGAAAAATCATTTTCAGTGTGTTGAACAGAGGTTTTATAACCCATTTGCTTATTAGCAGTTAAGCAAAGATCTGGAGATCATCCTCTTTGCTAATTTCCTTTTTCTGTTCTAAAGTTTTTGAATACCTTATGGCAATATTTAGCTACTGAGGTAACGTGCAGTTGGGAATAGCCCAAATCAGTTGCCCATAGTCTTGAAATCAGCCAATCACATCTTTAAAAAATAGTCAGTAATGGGCTGTGCTTCACTGTAGTACATGCATGCAGCCTGACAGATTCTGTTTTCATCTTTCTCTTGTTAATTGTCTTCCAAAAGAGGTAATTTGTGTACTTTCGGCTTGACTAGGGGACATTTGTCTTCTAAAAGAATGCCGATGACCAGCCTTTCATGGGAAAAAGAGGTCCATTAATTATTCAGAAGCTGGAGATGTGTCTTTAATAACAGTACTAATTGAATGCTTGTCCTCAACCCACACTCATGACCTGATTCTCACAAGTGGTTCTACAAATACCATTCACATCTATTAATGGTAATCATAGGTTATGTGTATTATTTCAGAAAAATATCACACATGGTCTGTTTTGTTGGGAGGGAAAGAATACCAATTTCTGTGATATCCATGCCTGTCTTTTCAACAAGAAGCACTTGATTTAATTTTGACAATTTTCACCTAAATGAATTATCATAACTCTTGAAAAAGCATGAAATATACTACTGGTTACAAACGTAGCTTATACATTGGGACTTTAAGACAACTTCATTAGCAGCCAAAATGTTGAGTGATCCAATATGTGCTGTTCCAACATTGTAAGTATAATGGAATTTAGTATTGTTGTGAGCCAAAGTATAATATAGAGAACAAAACAGCCTGCCGGAGCAGATTGCCAGCATAGCAACAGTGCACATAGACATTTTATTCAGTGATTGTGCTCCTTGATGCCATCTTACTGTTTCATTTTTCTCCTTCTTTCTATATTTCTTTCAAATCTGTTTTCTTTTCTATGTTTATGGAAACTTTTCATTTAAGTGTCCCTCTTCCATCTACCTTTGGTTACAAACATAGGCAGCAACTGATTCAAATTAAAAGAAAAATCAAGGAAGCCTTGAAGATTTCTATCCTTCCTCTCCTGCCTCTACCCCAAAAACAAAGTTTACTTGGGAAATACCCTTATCTCCTAAATACTTGTTTTCAATCTTCAGAAGTACGCCCTGATGTCTTGTAATATCTATACCATTTCTATGAGTATTGGTATTGAGCAGAAATCACAATTCCTTAAGTTTATAGGCTTGGGCTTCCTTATGGGACAGACCAGAACATACAGGACATGTCTACGTGAGACACTACTGCAAAGTAGCATCGTTTATTGTGCAGTAAGCATGTGCGTCTACACAGCAAACCTTACTAATCATGAGCAAATTTGCCACTTGCAATTGCAAGTAGCAAATTTATGTGCAAGTAGTTACTGCACAGTAGCACTCGTGTAGACACCTAACTGGGAGCACCAGAGAACAGAAAATTACTCTCTGCCCCCAGGAGCTGCCTGCTGCCGAGGCAGGCTCTGCCACTGGAGCCCAGGTGGGGACTATGTCCCCCTGCCCTGGCAGCAGGGAGCTCCAAGGTAATTGAGCATATACTTATCTCATGGTACATGCAGGGTAGCTTGCCCCTCGGTGAAAGTGAGGCAAGTTACCTCTCACTTATTGTGGGGTAAAAGTACATGTGTGGATAGTTGCTGTGGAATAGCTGATACACTGTAAGATCACATATGAGCTGCCCTTGAAGTAAGCACAGAGCACTTGGTCAGGGTCAGATGCAGAGTCAGTGGCAGATCTGGCAATAGATACCATTACTTTTGACTCTCCCTCACATATACCAACCACTAGGCCAGAATGATGCTTCCTGCTCAGTCTGGCATTTTTAATATCTGAGCTTATTTGGTATGTTTAATAAGAAAAGCAAGATTTTCTCTATGTTTTCTTTTAAATTCTAAAGTGTATACTAAGTACTACTGAAACCTGTAACTGGAATAAGGTTATAGAGGGAGCTAGGGAGATCTATTGCTTCTCTGGTTCTTTTGTCTGGGTAGTCATTTAAAAATGTCAAATCTTTCATAACTCTTGTGGCTCAGACGTTCAGCACATGTATGGAAATGAATTGCCAGAATTGTGTGCCTACCTCTATTTAAATCAGCCAGTTGCGGTGTTAAGACAAATCAAATCTAAGGCTAGAAGTAACCATTCGTATAGACTGACAAATTACATCTTCATCTGCCTACTCTAATTGTCTTCCAGCTGAGTTAATCTGCATTGTGTAACTCTGTCTAGGAGAATTCATATCCTAAGAGAATGCTGAAGTCAGGACTTCTATGCAAAATACAAAACATTAATTACTCAAAATTGCTTAAAGCTGGAGATGTGCCTCTAATGATGATACTAATTACTCAAAATTTGACAACGTAGAAGAGTTCCCTTTAATTTGGATGGTCTTTGCTCTACATTGTATATCTTTTTGGGTCTCTGCTGTCTGCTCTCACTTTTAATTTGTTGCCACAGTTGTAAAATTACTGAGTATAAATGGATTCTCCATCCTCATTTAGGAAGGTTAGATTGTAGATGTTGAATATGTAGTTTACTTTTCCCCCAACAGAAAAAAACTCTGCTTTATTACTAAGTTAATTTTAAAGAAGAGTAAACCTAGTCTGATCTCACATCTCAGTTACTTTAAAAGATTTCCCTTTCCCTTTCAACTGAATAGAGCAAAGCAACAGCCATTAAATAAATCTATTCAGTGTCAAATTGCAGTTTCAGAAAATAGTGTAAAAGAGACTTTAGTACAGTTTAACCTGCAGGTATAAACAAAACAAATCATCTAATTTTGTAATTCATCTATATATGAGAAAAACTACAGTGAAGGAATTTTAAGCTGGCAAAGTGTAGGTCTTCATAGGTAGGAAACACGAGAATTTATGTTTGTACAAACCTTTATGAATATGCATATGTGAATACACATTGCCACATGCTGTTTTTACCACTGTGTGCAACACATATGGAACATTTTTATTCAATAAAATTGAGTCTTTTTCTCTTTCAAGATTTTGACATCTCTCTGTTGCTAAAAATGTGGTCTGCATCATGAAGGTCTATGAGTATCTAAAGCAGAGCTTTCCAAACTTGTCATGTTGGTGACACACTTTTTAGACATGCATCATTTCGCGACACAGTAATTCAGTTCTGGGGGAGGGGCCAAGGGAAGCAGACGTGAGTAAGGGAGCTCCGCGGTGCCCTTCCGCAAAATTTTCTGCATTTCGCGCGACACACCTACACACTGCCGCCGACACACTAATGTGTCGCAGCACACAGTTTGGAAAGCTCTGATCTAAAGGTCTGATCCTGTGCTATTGAGGTTAGTGGAAACTTGTAGCTCGAAGTGCTTTTCCTTTGTTGTGCAAGCTGGTTGTAGCAGCAAGTTATAATTTAAAAGATCTTTTAAATGTGGCACAGGAACCTACATGTTAGCCACCTTGTATAATCATAAATTACATTCTTAATTAATTTTCCTACTTGGCAACATGGCATGCAGTAAGATAGACTGGCCATGAACGAAGACATGGAAGAAGGAATGGAAGGCAGAATGAAATAATGGTTGTTCTTTCCTGGGCAAAACAAAGCTGAAGGAAGGAGTTGGTGCTAGTATGAAAGTTTTCTAAGTCTTGGGGTGGACGCTGAATATAGAGAAAGAGAAGAACAATCATACAGTTTCTCCTTATTAGTTTTTTCCTATACTCTGGAAATCCTCCTTATCTTTTTATGCATTGGATTCAGGGCCGGTCCAAGGGTAATTGGCACCCTAAGCAAACTGTGTACCTTGGTGCCCCCACCACTTCCAATATAGAGGAAAATAAGAAGTCTAGAATGAACTTTTACAGCTTGGTGGGGAGAGCATCCTGGAGACCTGGCCCCGGCTCCGGCTCTGGCCCCGCAGGGTGGGAGCGCTGGACAGGAGCAAGGGGCACTATTGGCCTGGGGACAGGGGCTGCAGGTCGGGAGTGAGGGGCACTAGCAGGGATGGGGGCAGGGCCGGTCCAAGGTGGAGCCGTAGCTAGCCAGGGCTGTTATTTAAAATGATATTCCTACTTTTTTGTTCTGCATATAATTTTGGCAACCCCCAAATTTTGGCACCCTAAGTGACTGCCTAGTTCTCCTAATGGTTGGGCCAGCCCTGATTGGATTTTTGCCTTGTTGCTCCTTTGGCTTTTGAGCTCTACAAGAGATCTTGTTCCTTTCCCCTTTTCTTCCAGATTCTCCCAACAATAACCTCTATCCCACCATCACGCCTCACTCCCAAACATTTCCTATTTTGAATTGTTAATAGCTGAGAACAAGACAGATGTTCTTGTTTTCAGCTATTAAATAAATGAAAAAAACACTGGATGAAAGAAAGTTCGGGTTGCAGAGTCTAGCATTCAGAAATAAGGACGTTCCAGTTTTTGATTATCCAAACAACGTTAATTTTAGCCCCTTGTGTCTAATATGGACACCAAATGAAGCAGGGGTTTTATAGAAAAAATAGTTTGTG